ACATGCACGCTGGTTTAGTTTGAAGTTTCGAGGCGTAGTGTAAGACCCCCAAGATAATCAAGTTGGAAGGCATTCAGAAGTGAGAGCATTTCTGACCATCACAGCCACTTGTGCGGTTGACTTTATTATTTGGGGAGTTACGAGCTGCTTGATGAGAGTCAGTGTCAGGTCTCCCATGTCTAACAAAACGAAAGACAGAGTTTAAAGGCCAGTAATAATAAAACCCTGACAAGTAATAGTATACCTGCTGTTCCGAGGGCTGTTTTGCGATACTTGGGTTGCATAGAAGTCGCAAAGCAAGTTTCAAAACTCGTCATCTGGACCAAAATATACAGTGGCGGTAATGTGCCTCTGTGTTTGCATGACTTCAGAACAGGCTGGTGTAGCAGTGAGCTCCGAACAGCGCAGTAGTGGCAGGGATGACTCTTTAGAATCTCCAGCTATTTATACCCCCCCAGAGAAGGGAAACGTGAAGCTGGTCTTTCCCACCGCTCAAGGAGGGTTGGGGAGAAAGAAAGGCACAAAACCAAAAAGATCAAGTAGAAGGCTGGAGTTTGGGGGAGGAAGCTCAGGGCTGGCTTCCTTCACGCCTTCCTGGCCCGAGCGTCATCCTGTTTGCTCAGTCGGCTTGTGGCTGCAGGTGAAGGCAGATGCAAACGTCAACAAAGAGGTGAGGGCTAGACTAACACAACAAAACAAGTCTAATTAACGACAAAATAATTAGGGCCATGATTTGGATAGGGATTAATAGATTTTAAACTGATAATTGATTGGGTACTTGGCTTTTTTAACACATTGAGATTTTGTAATAGTCAAGAGACGCACACATTGCACCGATAATAATCAAAATCCTGTGTTATTTATTATGCTGAATATAAAAGTGCTCGGAAACAATGAAATTATATCTCATTGAAAGTGTCCTGTATGAGGTACCTATTGTATTGGCAAACCTATGATTGCTTTTTAGCAGGTCATTCGCAAAGTCTGAAACGGAACGACCTCCTTCACCAATAAAAAGTCCCCATTAAAATGATTCACTAAACACTAAATGTAAATTAACGGTAAGTATTATCTTATTTCATTTATTTCTTCTTTGAGAAGCGCTGTTCTACTGTGGATTAGACACTTACTGACAGTTGTGGGTGGCCTGAAGCAAAAGTCGCAGGGGGCAGCCTTTCCAGATGTTTCATATTATCCTCCAGCACTGTCGAAACCCCACTGATCACCTTGTGCTCTTTTAATCTCAAAACGAACAGACTTAAGGCTAAAATTCCAGTCTTGTCTTCATTGTGTAGAATTCATTGGGACATAGGTCATCATGGTCAAAGCTTTTCAAATGGCAAATTCCATGCTTCCATCTTAACAAAGTTGCTGCTAATGACGATTGTTTAAAGTTGATTGGTGGAGGGTTTGCCACAAGCCTTTGATTATGTGAAAACTGTAAAAATGTGTAAAAAACCCCGAAAAAAACAAACTGGAATTTTAGTATGATGACATCACTATTTCCAAATATACTGTAAGAATTCAGGTTTTTGAGCACGTACTGTATCTTGCTGAGAGACATTGTAAGCAAAGTCAAAATATTACATTTCCATTCATTTGATCATAATCTAAAGTTTGATCCTTAGAGTAGAGTGCCAGATTCTAAAAAGGCATGCGTTTTTAGAATCTGTATAGTACAGGTAACAACTGTATGACAATGACAACAAGTTTCATATTTAGTCACATTTAGTCGATTCGTCATTGCAGCCTCAACACCTATAATGTATTCTTTCTACCAGAATTCAAAAAAAAATTATATCCTTCAAATGCTATATTAAAGCTATCTTAAGACGGAGCAAATTGGCGTGCAACCATCCTGATCCCTTAATCAAACAGAAAGCTCAACAGGAGATTAAGAAGCGTGATTTTGGAATACAGCTTCCATTTCTAATCTGACCACTTCATTCAACCAAGAGAAAGATGCTGAGGTGATAACACGGAGCAAAGTGATCCTCTAATCCCCTCTATTCAAAAACCCAACCCCCTCCTCACCTCCTTCTACAACCACACCCCCATGCTTCCCTCCAGCACACTGGACACTGTGGTAATTGCCGAGGGATGAATGACATGCAGAAAAGCTTAGATAACTGTGATCTTTGTGCTTGTGTATGTCATTTGAAGTCGTTTTTTAAAGATTGGGGAGGCAGTTTGCATAAATAGGTCTTTAAGTAATGACAGTGATGCGATGGCAATGTCCAATCTTGCTGAAGTGACAAAGCACAAAGAAGATAGACAGAATCATCAGATAAGAGCCGTAAGGAGACATCCAGTCCAGATGCAGAAAACCCCCCACGTATTCTACACCAAGTGAAACAAGACAAACCTGCAAAAAGTCCATATAAAAGGCTTCATAGTAAATTTCACCCATATAAAACGGCAAAGAGGATTGACATAGAAAGCCTGCATCAACTACAATAGGGAACGTTAAAAAAAAAAGGTTTCTGAAAGCTGGGGTACTTTTCTATTGGTCATTTGGCTCAACAGAAAATGCCTTGTAAACCACAACATGCTGTCAACAACTTATTAGAAAACATGTCACTATTTGATTGTTTGGGCTAAAAGATAATCCGCTAAGTGGAGGTGGTCTTCTCATTTTCACTGAAAAGCTGATCTAAAGATGCAAAACATGTAAAAACAGGTGACAGAACCAAACTGGATGGGGGCGAAGAGCTAGTTTGATGGATTGTATGACTTTTTGTGGTATAAAAGGTACCCTAACCTTTTATAAATTGGTATAAAAACACAAGTCAGTAAATTAAAAACCTTTTGGTCAGTCCACCAATGAAAACCCAAAGATAGAAGTTCCAATCGCAACAGATATAATTTAATCTATATGTTGCCTTCTCACCTTACATTTAATTATTGTGAGATTTCATAACACTTTGAAGCAACTTTTGTTAAAGTTAAACTCATCATTCTATCAATGTGCAGAAGCCTGTACTTTTCCCTTGTTTTGTCTATCTGAAGGCCAAGCTACATGGCACCCGTGGAAGCTGCTGATTGGAGGTCTCCATGCCTCCGCTCTGTATAATACACTTGCATTCTGTTGTTCGTGCTGTCTCTACCATCGACAATAAAACATGTCTTCTGTCAGAATTAAAGACGCGATCCCAGACATGTCATCTTCTTCATTATCTATCTCTCAGTATGAGCCCAGTTTTGGATTGACTGAAAGGCTGCATATCTCCATTGAAACCATCTGTGGTGAGCTTTACCATCAGACAAGAGTTATCAGCACAGCAGCACAGACTCCAGCCACAATGATCAGGATATCCCAGTACGGACATGAGGAAAGGAAGGATGAGCTGTCACCAATCCACAAGACATCAAATAGCTGACTACAATACTGTCAATGTCAGCAAGGATGATTGTGAGAGGTGAATTTTGTAATACTATGATTCAGAATTTGCGCTCTTACTCCATAAGCCGTCCCTCATAGCGGTGACAATGGTGGTGCTGATAAAGAGCTAGTGTGGCGGGTGGCTCTGACAGCTTTCAGATGTCCACAGAGAAACGGAACCCAGACTTCTGAAGGGTCTTTGGAGGTCTGCCTGGCTTTATCATACTGCCAGGAGAGGGTTATTTGGGGGAAGAATGAGGTGAAAAACCGGTCCCTAAGCTGCCTGGTGAGATGGTGAGATCAAATCTGCGACGATGGAATGTCACGCAACGACATAAAGGTTATTAAACTAAATATTTATTTCATCTCTTGTAGCGCAGAACTTTTTTGACAATGAGGAAGTTACAGCATGTGACAGAGTAGAAGCAAGAGGGAGAATGTTGAAACAAGAACAGACCGAGAATTGCAAAAGATTAGCCTTCATTTGCAAAGGGCAAAATGAGTGAGGGCGTATTTGTCAGAGATCAATGGTGATGGTTTGCAGGCGACCTTAACCCTTGAACTTTCCAAAGTCAAATGGGGATTTACCTGTCACAGGCACAATACTAATGCTGCTTCAGATGGTTACTGAGTGAGAAGAACCTGACACGCAGGGTTAAGTTAATGACATCAAAGAAACCTACAACACAATCTATCAATACTCTTGGTCCATCTGTAGAGAAAATGCAATCTCATCACCAAATCTACAACTACTTTACTGAAAGCTGGGCACCTTGCCAGATTCTCATATTTATAATACATGTGTTTGTTACAGAAAGAATGAATATTGTGAGGAAATCTCACCAAATTAAGGTCCTGTCTTAATCAGATAAGAAAACATGCCATCTTTTGCATAATTGTAAGAATGATCCCTGAAAGCGTTGGGCAAAGAGCTGATTGGTTGAGTGAGGGTGGTCCTCTCTTTCACTTTTTCACAGCTGATATAAAGCTGTGACAGAGGCCAAAAATACAAGCATGTGAAAACTAGCGATATAATCTAGATAGATCGTTCTATGTTTTGTGGATTGAAAGTTATAGGCACCCCAGCATGAAAATGTAAATGTTTTAGTTTGTCAACACAGATCTCATGCATATATGCTAACTTTGCAACAAGAAAGCATGATGCAGGAAGAGCCATTTAATTGAAAAGGAACCAAAACTGTTTTTCTTATCACGTTACCACACAATAGACGGAGGAGAATGATGCCTCTTGGCTACTAAAGCAGTCTTTGCATACAAACAACAGTGAGTCTACGCTTCATATAGTCACGACATGACAATTCGTTTATCTGTAGTGTGTGAAGCTGCATCAAAGAGGCTGCAAAGTTGATATAAGTGTCAATCCTCACACAGTTGTAAGATGAACCCCCCTCAAGCACACTTCACTTTGCATTTCTTATTTGCAGGCTGTTCCTAAACAGTCACAGCATTCTTCATTACAAGTTTTATTAGTCTTGACATTTTACGAGACAGGGTCATTTTTGTGCATCCATTGAGCCTTTTAGTTCAGAGGTGACGGATTCATTGCCAGACGCTTGGGCAACGTGGGAAAAACAGCCATGTCAATGCATACACTTACCGACTGGAGGAAAAGCAAAGTGCGGACGTAATCCCTCTCGGTGTTTAGCGTTTCGTTCAGGACGCAAAGCCTGAGCCGCTGCTGTCTGTCTGAATCCTTCGCTGCGTGGATATTGTTGTCCAAATGCCCGTCTTGCTCTTCTTCCATGGTGGTCAGTCACTCCGATCCAACACAAGAACCTTCACGCGTGTTTTCCCCTTTTTAAAAATCCACACTTCGCAACAGCTTCAGTCCATTTTTAACCGACAGCTTTAGCGATGCGCAATGCACCACTCGGAAAGTTCACCAAAAGTACGAGACAACAGGAGAGTGGAGCCAGCGTGCGTGCTGTCCACAAGCAGCTGAGAGACTGCCTGTGTGAGCGCATAGGAGAGCGGGAGGAGGGGCCCGTGTCAGCTCTAGGGGCCACTACCCGGGCCCCTGTGATGCGTTATGTCACAGGCTCCACTGTCACCAGATCTATGCGCTCACGCGGGGACCTGGGAGAAAGACCAGATCAACAAGATGGTTATTCAGTGTGAACATTTAAAGCTGGGGTATCTAACTTAACTTTGAAAATAATATTACCCATTAATATTATATATATGTATTAACAAAACATTAACATTTTTTGGACAAATCATAAATAATGCTTAAAACACATAAGTAAATGTCACTATTTGACGCTTTGAGCTGATTGGTTGAATGAAGGTGATCCTATTTATTACCTTTTCTGCCCGAAAAAGATGGTCCAGATGTGCCAGAAGCCAAAAATTCATTCATTTGATGACTGATCGAACCAGACTGTTTTGAGAGACGAGTTAGATAATTACTGTTATTTTGTGTGGTTTGAAATTAGGTACCTCAGCTTTAACTTTCCAAAATAAAACAAAGCTAAGCTGTATTTTGACAGTCTTTCCAAGCCATGTCCCACAATTTAGGGATTCTGCAGGAATGGGCATTTGGCCTGGTCATATGTAAGACTTTAAGAAAAATATATAAATACATAAAAATATTAAATTAGATTATTAATCAGAGGTAAGAGGGTTTCCCCAAATTTTAGGAAAGAACCACCCTCTCCAACAAAACTCTCTAGTTATCTGACGAGCATGTAGCATCAGAATGATTGACAATTGGGAGGACCTATAGTTTTGATGATCCACCCGGAAGTAGAAAATCCTACATCTATACCCCAAGTACTTCTGAAAATATAAAACTGTAGTATTACTACAGTAGTCAAATTTCAAACCACTTTAGTTCCTGGATCTAAAACAGTTTATTTTCACTAGTTTTCACTTGAATATAGTGTGGACTCTGTCACATCTTTAGATCACCAGTGTCAAACAGAACAGAAGGAGGACCACCCTCACTCAGCCCAAGGCGTCAAAGGGTGACTCACAGGGTTCTTTCTTATAAGAAAATGATTGGATGTTTTCTAATAATATGTTTGAGTCTTGTTCTCAACATGTTACTCCCACTTTCTGTTGGGACAAACTAAAACAGTAAGGTGACCCCCAGCTTTAGGCTAAGACCGTCTTCCTCATTATTAGCTGAGAGTTGCCTTTTGTACTATAAAAATGTAAGATTTTGTTGCAGAAGCCCTGGGCACAGATAATAACAAATTCAAGATATACAAAGTAAGTGGCCTAAAAGCTAAACAAAAGCGCGCATAGTCCAAATAGGTGTTTGCATTGATTCAGGTTCCATGGTTGAAATGTGGGATGTGTGTATGGTAGTCTGACGGTAGTCCAGACGTACTCACCAATTCAGCCATTGTTCAAAATATCTGAATGTCGAATTATCGTAGAGTAACTTAAAATTATTAAAATCTAAGATGAGTGAATTTCCATCGATTTCAGTCCAGGCTTCAGTGTAATTTTTACGGGCCAGTCTCCAAAGTGACCAGTGTGAGTCGCCCCCTGATGGAGACAATGAGAACTACAACTTACGCTTTGAATTATGAAAAGATGCTGTTACTTGGTGGGTTTCTCATGGATCTAGTGGTGTCTACTTCTACCATTGGTGAAACTCGCAAAATCAGTGCGTTAAAAAGTGAATTTATTTCTGTAATTCAATTGTCAAACCAATGAATAGGCTTTTTACGTGCAAAGTGACACATGCCAAGCCTTAAGTAAATTATGGCTTTCAATGGACTTTCAAAATATTTAGATTCAGAAGTTGTTTTCGGGATTTTCAACCTACAAGCTAATGATCAACATTATAACAAATAAAACTCACTAAATCTCAATTTGCAAGGCAATGTGTAAGCTGAAATTCAGACATACATTTTTGAATACTATTTTATACAAGTTTAACCTGTATAACACATTAGGTACATTCCTTTGCATACCTGTAGTAGCTATACACTTAAGCAACTACTGGTCACTACGTACTGATCGTGTACAGCTTTGGAAAGTAAACACAATAACAATGGCTGTAAAAATCATAATGTAAAATTTCAATAACAGTTTTAATCGATGCATGTTACATTCAAAACCATGGTGATCTTCCTGCACACATAACCGCATACGTACAAGGTTTCTTGCCATTTTGGAGGAATGCAACAGACAAACTAAACGCACCATCATATATTTACATATTATCCTCTACTTATGTACATGGCAAATCTTTAAATATGATCAAACAATGGAGTAACATAAGATACAATGTATGACTGATTGTATGTAGTTCTTTAAGCATATTTCATGTACTTTCCTTCCAAAAAGGCATAAAAAGTGAGTCACACAATTAGACATGATAGGTTAAAAACTTGACAATGCCTCTTCATTCATTGTTCACAAGATAAAACTCCTTCAGCAGGGTTTACATACAAAAAGACAAATGAAGTAACCAAAGGAAATAGAAAACAAAATGTGCTCAGTGCATTAAGACTTTTCAAATATAACAAAAGAGATATTTGCCCCATTTTGTTGCCGTGATAAATAAGTTCACATTGTTACAGGCAGACAGTGGGCTTGAATCAAGTGTAAAGTGAAGCAGAAGAAACCAAAGCATCTCTCGAAAGGCAGAATGTCAGTCATAGAAAACTCATCTTCTGGGCCAAAAATACAACATTTTTAAGTACTAAATTTAATGCAGTTTGTCTTGACTCGTCTAAAAATTGAAATACGCAATGAATTTAGTATGATATTTTTCAATTTATTCAATCTGCTGTTATTGAAAGAAAGGATTTGATTATTATATGCAAAATATTTCTATATAGAAAATAAATGATGACAAAAATGAATTGTAAATGCTGAACACGAGCCGTGGGTCACAGCGTCTCATTGCAACATGCAACGTTCATGTCCGGTAGAACTCTATTGTGATTCTGTTACTGCATTTGTTTTTATCATACTGTGCTGCAGCTAAGGTGGATGGTGACAGACAGGCACAGACACAGTGTTGGCGCCATACTGAATGAACAACAAAACTAAAACAAATATAAAAGCAGCAATTCTATGTTGCTCAGTGCTGCGACTATGGCCAGACGTGTTCATACTAGGAAGACTTAAGCAGGAGACTGAAATGTTCTGATAATTGCATCAAACCAGAGTACTTGTCGGTCATTTTTGAAAAGCCCACACGTTTGTTAATGTCCACTTTACTAGATCGTCATTAGGACACACATTTCTGACACTGAAGTAACAAGGGCAAACATTATACTCTTCAGAAGGCCAACAATGGAACTGTTGTATTGCAGTAAAGACAAGCAAAACTCTTGTAGAGCAAAAATCTAATAAGCAGAGTCAATGTTAAACTTCAGCCATTAAAGTCTTCAATCAGCGGCTGCGACATACAAATGTAGCTTTTTCTCCACCTTGGCATTTTTGACACTTGCTTTCGTAGTCAAAGGCAGACAGTGTTGATATATGTATTCATATAAATAACAAAATAGTACAATATAAATATAAAGATTCTTGTGTGAGATGGGATGTGCGTTTGGAGGATGGTGTGGCGTAGTGTATGTTTGCCAGTGTCGAGACGGGGCAGGTGGGTGGAGTTATTGGTGACGTCGTCCCTCTCCCACATCGTAGAAGAGTGAGGTGTAGAACTCAGGCTCTAGTGTTTTGCTGCGATAACGGTTGACCATCTCCGTGATTTTCTGCTTACGTCTCACATGAGGAGGGTTGTACAAGTCACTTTCCAAACGCTTTCGTCGACATACGTTTATGACCGTCTGACGAACAAGAAAACCTGCCAAAACAGACACAATATTTAGGTCGCAAAGAGAAAGCAGAGTCACTACATGAGCTCCTCAATACAGTGCATACGTTACATACAAAACGACCTGGTCTCCCACAAATATTTCCCAACGTTTTTCTTGTTTTTGATTTTAGTTTTGCTCGATCCCTTAGACTAAGGTGTCCAAACATTTTAGTAAGAGGGCCACTTTCGTTCACCAGGCTTAAAAATGATCTATAACAGCTACAGTTTTAGGGCTCCACATTTTGGGCACTCTTAAATGTTTACACAATATCTCTATAGGCTCTATTCTTTTTCAAAATTACTATCACTTTTTTCTATTAGACAAAATAAACAGCAAATACATTTTTTTACAGCATTGTATTTCAACTTCAAATTGCTTATTATTCTAAACTGTTTGCAATTAGACTAGAGATTTTGTGACACCCCTAGAGGCGACTGATATTTTCATTTTGGGCAACAGAAATTTTGATTTGATTCTATAAAAAAAGTGCACCGCGATAGTTTCAACTTGCATCTTTCATAAACTGTGTTAATATAAATATAAATTAATAATTTAAATTTTGTGGAAAAATAGCTAAACACATCCCATTATTATGCATTTTTATTATACAGTGACTCAAATACAAAATGGTCTCACCTAAAGCCCGACGACTGGTCACCATGCCGTCCACCAGTGGAATGACCATTCCAAATTTACCCACAGCACCGAGCAGCCTGATTCTGAAGAGTCCAGTGTTTAAGGGGTGGATGAAAATCAGTGGAACGTCCTTCTCTAATAAACCTGACCTGTAGACCAACAAATCAAATCGTGAATAACACAGTACACTCACTTATAAAAATAATAAAATAATAATAATAAAAAAGACAACACAGAAATTAAAAAAACACCCTTTCTTTCTGCGCATGCTGCAGGACGTCCTGTTTATCTTTCCGGATATTATTACTACGGCATTCATCCTTAACATTACGTTACATACCTGCAGGAAGTGCTGTTGCTCATGCTGGCTTCCAAACCCGTACTGGTTTCCGCAAGAAGATCAGTCAAGGGGAAGTTTTCTACACAAAACAATTGCTTTAAAATACAGTTTAAAGCTCTTTCCAAGCGATGTGCTTGTCAACATGTGCTTACCAATATCATCATAGCGCTCCACCCACACAACAAACACCTTAGTTTCGGGTCCCAAAGCAGGAAATGACTTTCCAGTTGAAGATCTTTTTGTCTTATTCAGCGGGCTCAGCTGCAAAAACAGCACACAGAAAGTCTGAGCTGATAGAATTGATCAGGAGGGATGATACAAAGTAGCACTAGTGTTACCTTTTTTACAGACTCCAGATTTTCAGAATGGTTTGGGAACAGGTCCAGTGTGAGGTTGGGTTGCCTCGGTAAACCGGGCATTGGATCAGAGTTTGTGTCCGCTTCCACTGTGGAATCACTGTGTACAGATGACTCCTCTGTGTAAAAAAATTACCTATTTTTATAAAGAATTTACACTTTCACGTTACATTCAATATCCACTTGATATAAATGGCTGACCAGAATTTTCAGTAAAAGATGGGACAACAAAGGCCATTTCAGTCAGAGCATCAGCATAGTATAGAACTTTCTTCTCTCCATTGAAAAGCGAACCTCCGGTGTCTTCAGGGGGGGTGGCGTCTTCTAGAAGAAACAGATATTTATGAAACATTTCTAGTGCAATCATTAAAGAATACAATTATGCATTATTTAGTGGCCATTAAAATTACACTATTTACTTGTATTAGAATGTGAAATAATATCTTGAGTTTAAAATATATGGTGAAACAAGTATAACAATAAAAAATGCTTTCAGTCTGTAAATCTCTCTGCTACCACTAGAGGGAGAAGTTAAATTGTTTTGTGCCGTTTTCCGAATTTGAAAATTACTGGCTGCAAATACAGTCAATATAAAGACCATAATCTTGCCAAAACTACATTTACATATTTAGAAACATACTGTGACAGACTGAGCTTTTAGAAAGGCACGACAGAGTCACAGGATTGTGCTGATTTGGATCTGCAAAATAAATAATCCAAGTCATTTCTGTTACCTGTCTGCTGCACATCATTGTCATCTGCACAAGAGTTGAGAGACCAGCTAGTGTCTAAATGTCCGGTCCATCCCGGGTGGTGCCCTACGTCCACAGGCCAGCCCAGGGACAATAGGAACTCCAAAAAGTGGGGCTGGACGCTTGCAGACGATTCCACATTCTTAAGAATCTGAAACCAAAAACAATTCATTTAGATTTTTCTGATAGGTTGTCTTGGATGATATATCAGCTTACCTCGTGGCTGCTTTTCTGTCCGGCTCTCATATAGAAAATAAAAACGGTGTCAAAAGGTCGACACGGCAGCAGGTCGAGGAAACTGATGTCCTCGATGAACCCTGAGAGCGAGGAGTCCAGGCCAATCAGGTGAGGAGGTAGACGGCTGTTGTTTGGCTCCTATTACGCATAAAGGTTTGAGTTAATCTCGATGGATTACAGATATCTTTATTGTTTTTATTATATGTTTGAGTTATCCTTTCATTCCTACTGTTCTATAATGTGCATAGAAACATTGCCATTCAAAGGGTCTTTTTCGTTTGGTCGATTTAAAAACCTAAATTTGAATTAGTCGCCAATATATTTTTATTCAAATTACAAATATGGGGAAACAGAAACATGTCAAAAGCTGTAGAGGAGTTTGGTATTTACAATCACGTTAAAGCTGGGGTCCCTAACTTTCAAACATAATGTACCTAGTTCCGCACTCTCAAAACTGTGGTTCTATCCCCAGTTTTCACATGTATTTTTGGCCTCTGTCACATATTTAGAGAGGTCCACCCTCACTGAGCCAATCAGCTTTCAGCCCAAAGTGTCGAATAGTGACTCATGTGGCTTTTTCATGTAAGTAGGCAAAGATTAACATGTTTTTTTAACGAGATAAAGATACTGTGGTCTGATTATATTTCTATTGGTATGAACAAAATGTATTATTTATGATGATATTTTATGCCTAAATAGTTGTTTGCATGAAATTTAAGTTTAGATGAGATTTGTGATACTTTTGAATGATTTTGCAGCGCCACATTTTAGTTGAAAGGTTAGATCTTCATGTATTACAAAGCCTAAAGTTAATCTCACCTTAAGTGCCTCCAAAGACAAAAATCCGAAATGTGAGAGGAAGAGGCGTGCAGTTTGGAACTCCTGTGCGGGCGGAGGGGGTTTGCAGTCCGTTTGAGGGTCAGGGAAAGGCTTAGACTTCCATTTCTCATCGCTGTGTCGTTCCAGGCTGTGTTCATACTCTATCTGCTTCGCCATCACAGCACGGAGCTTCTCGAGCTGAACCTCAAGCTGAGAGTAAAGACGATTGTTAGAGACAGAGGAGCTGAATATGAAAAGAAAATAGATTACTTTCCCCAAGAAAATATACACTCCCAGAGATCAGCAGTTTAATCAAAGTATGACAAGAATCTCATCAAGAAGACATACACTCATCTGCCACATTAGTTAGTGTTTTAGTCACTTAGTGTTTCAAATATATGATTGTTGTGTTGTGAGGAATAGCAACACAACAAATGTAGAAATGCAACTACTATAATTCGGCTGAAGAGGGATTGGGAGCGCTATCACTAATGAACCGATTCAAATGCTATTCTCAACCTATAATGCTTCCCATGTTGCAGGTGAGTGTAGTTCATTGACCCAAATCAACATCTGTGCCCTCTTTCACACACTGTTAGTTGGTAGGAATAAGAAAAACTGTATTGGATTAAAAACACACACAGCTCATAGTTCTACATGGTCCCTTTTTACCAAAGCCAGATCCCAATCTAAACAAAACATTCCCAAATGGACTCACATGTGGGCAACTTTTCAACAGGTGCTTTGAAATATCCTGCCAGCCCATACAACACACCTACATACATTTAATAACATAAACATTATTCCTGCTGCATTTCAAGTGAGAGAGAGTAAAAGTTAAACCGCTCACCTCTTTACTGACAATATCATCCAAATCAGGAATACTGACATCGGCTTTGACAAGTGGGATCTTATCCACCTCTTCGGGGAATGGCCGCTGTTTGACATTGTATTTGATGCCCACGTCGTTCTTGGGGGTTGGACGGCCCTCAGGAACAAACGCCTGCTTTGAAAGATCCGACATAGTTGAATAATGACACATGCAGTAATACTTTATGATGGAACAGACAAATATCCATATATGTATGTATTTAAATTACTGTTATTGAATTTGACCAAAGTACTACAAGATTATTTTGTAAAAAGGCACATTCTACTGGATGAACTTTATCCAGGAAACTATTTGTATACCACTCAAACAATTACAATTACATTTTCTTTGATTGCCCAATTTCATTAAAAAGGCCTGCACAGACAAAATCAAGAGTTGAACAAAGTCATAATTAGACAGCTAAAGCGTGAATATATTACAAATGAAATGGCAAATATCTAGAAGAAAATGTACATACTAAACACTAAAAAAATTTAGATTCAGATTCATTTATTTGCCTTTTGCAGTAAAACCACATTGGAAAAACGGCACACACCAGAGCTCTTGCCACGGCGCCATCTTTACGGTGCCACATTGTTGAGGAATGTGAATTATTACATGGCTTTTTAACTGCTCCTCAGCCAGATTAAAAATATTACATAAAAATGCTGTCGTTCTCACCCTCTGATTGGCTCGTGCCCCTCTTGGTTGATGGAAAAGCTGCATTGTCCAGGCATGTCGACCAGCAGTGCCTCGAATCAACACCGTCACAGATGGACTAGGATCTGTCATGTCACGCACATTACACAATATCTCAGGCCTTACATACAACCCATATTCATGAAAACCTAAATAGAAAATGGAGAAATTACTGACTCTGCTCATTCCCGAGAGGTTGCTCCAGTGTGGCCAGGATAACAGAGTTGTCAAGGACAAAGTAGCGGAAGTTGCCAGCTCCAGCAGCACTTAGTCTGGCATAGCGGATCAAAGTCTCTTCATTCAAGAGGCAGCAGGTGGAGGCAGGCCCACTGGGAGAAGGGAAGGCCCCCAGCACCTGCATAATACTGGGCAAACAAGAATAAATAAATAAAAAGAAGAAAGTAAAGACCTGACAATCCTTGAAGTTCAGTTTTACCAGGATAATGTGGCTTCAGCAGCATCTTTCACCCTCATTGAGGCTGGGTTGTGTTCTTTATCACCTTTATGCCTAACTTCATTTTCCTGGCGGGATTTGCTTCCAGAGATGCCAAGCTCTACGATATCCAAAACTTCAGACAAACAGTCCTAAAAAAAGAAAATATTGTAATTTCAACAGACTCATTCATCCAAAGAAAAGAGGAGCTATGAAGATCTTTTTCACCTTTTCTTCCAACATGTCTGGATGTTCCGTGAGCCACACGCAGAGGAACTGGAAGGCAGCAACTATCATAGAGTGGAGGTCTCTGGACTGAAGAGGGGCAGGACGGCTACACTGATAAACAATATATGTGCAAATGGAACTGATGGCTCGCTTCCGGTCCGCTGAGTCAACTCCAACTTTCACCTATAAATGATAAAAGAATGAAGCCCTTTACAAGTATATGTATTATGTTATTAGCATGTAATAATTCATCATAAAATGGTTGTCCATACCTTGGCGAGCCCAGCCAGCAGCTCCAGAGCAGCCAGTGAAATGCTCATATCTTGCTTCCATTGGGAGTTCAGTCTCTGTGTGACAAGGTGGATACTGCGCACCAGCAGGCCTGCTGCCGTATCTGCAAGAGCTAGATCATATAACACCCGAAATACCAAACACCGCAGAGAAGAAGGCAAAGCAAGACAAAAACAACAGGTCTGAGTTCCTCAAGATTTCAAAAAGACAACAGCAAACAATGCAGCAATCAGATTAATGTAAAACATGCCACGGCAAATTATGTAGCAAAACATTCAAAGAGGATTATGAAAAGTTAAATAGAGCCGTGGAAAAGCAAAATCACAACAAAGTATTCTGAAACACCTACATAGACAATTTACCCAGCGTTTCTTAACTCTGTATACCACTTTAACCACGTTAGCTACAAAAAGCAAAGCTGTTAATTATCTTTGTAATCTTATATAGCAGAATGTCTTCATGCAGTACATTAGTACAATATAAATCGTGAGTATTGGCTCTTTTCCTACCATAATCACGGAGGAGAGCTTGTGCTGGCCGCTCGGTGTCGGGGCTGGTTGCCTCAGTGCTGCCCCCACTATTAAAACTAATGCCACTGTTGGTGCGGCTGTGGCTCTGGCTTCTTGAAGCCACGTGGGTGCCATCTAAGCTCACCTGGAAACACAAGAAATACATTATTGTTTGGGTTAAAAATGCACCATTTCAAAATTAATGTTCAAATAAATTCTCTAAATGTTAGACCACATACTGTCTCTGTCTGTGCACCAATCGACTCCAGCAAAGCAGAGTCCTGGACAATGTTCAACATTGCACCTGAGAAGAACAAATAGAAAAACTGGTAAACACATTTGAGAACATGTAAATGTTGTGATTTTAAACAGCAGACGTTACCCAGTATGAGCTGTGTGTTGGTGGGGTCTGTCTCCGTTTGCAGTGCTCCGATGAGAACATTGACCAGACGGAGCCGTAAGGACAGAAAAGACACTGGCTGATCAAGAGGCCACACGTCCTCTTCATTGAACTTCCCTTCTAGTAAGACCTGAAGCACAACATGTATATTAGTTAACTTTAATAAAGGTAGAACAGCCAAAAGTTTATCTTTTTTTTATTTTATGAAATTGACTTAATCCAAACAAGAAAATAAGAGATAGCAAATTAATTGGGGATAGGTGAAGTGTTAATTTATTCTCTTTGAGGCCAAAACCAAAACAAAAATACTGCTCCGTTACAGATAACTAATTCTCTCAGTACGTGGTATGTTTTCAAGTCTGTGGATAAAGTAAATGGCAATTATTTGATGAATAAATTTACCTCTGATTTGATATTCCCAAAGTGGTATGGTAATGGCAACATGGCGAGTAGGATATTAATGGAGGCTCTCCTCAGATCAGTAGGATTTACATACATCTTAAACTTGGAGAGCTCCCTGTGTAGAAAATAAACTTTAAATGGTGATTATTATACAAGTAATCAGCCCAATACTGACCTGTCTGGCACAATAGTCTCAAGAGCAGCTATAAAGTAGGGCACCACAACATTGATCCCCTTCAGGTCGGAGCAGAAAAGGGACGACGAGTTTAGAATAATTGAGGCTAGAACAGGTCTGCAGATGAAGTCAGAGATTTGAAGTCCTTGAATGAGAACCATGTAGAACCTGCAAAAATAAAAATAAATGGACCCGCTTTACAGAAAGAAAAACAAAGCTATCTTTTTTGCACCAACTAAAATCTAATTATTTTAGAGAATTTCAAAGAAGACAGACTATACCTATTCACAATCATTATTGTGAATTTTCTACACAATGAGCTAAAACAATGTTACAAAAGAAACTTCCTCGCAATTCTGTATTCATTCCAATCAGATGAATCAAAGCAATTCCCATAAAAAAAAAAAAAATGCCTACACAACAATAGAAAATCATGTGTTTACCAGATTTAGAACAAACAACATTGGTTATGTTGCTGTAGAGGTTGTGGTTAGAGGAAAATTAAATGTAATAATAATACAATATTGGATGGACTGTTTTAAAAAAAGAACACTATCAATAATGTTTTCATTTTGGGAGGGAAGTAATGTAAACCAAAAAAAGGCTTAGCAAGATGCAGATGAAGGAAAATATCATTAAAAGCTCAAAGAATGCATTGCACTCTCAAGTTGTAGGTGTCCATTTCTAAAAATTGCGTTATTAATTAGAAATGGACACAAGGCCTTTGTCTGTTTCTTTCTCTTTCTAAGATGATCCAAATGACATATCATGTCCCCTTTAAAAAAGATAATATAAATCTTTCATACAATACATCCGTTTACCTGGAGAGATAAACAGGTAATATGTCCTCCCCAGTTTTCTTGCTACAAAAGATGCGACAGAGAGTCCCACAGGCCTCAGCGCGGCCGGCCTCGTAGCTCTCTGGGAACTCATTGGCATCGAACATGGGGTTGGACACCATGGACTCTGTGGACATTTGCGAGCCCTTCCTCCTCAGCTCCAGGCCGACTTGCGTGGCTATTGCTGCAGAAAAAAGACAAAAGAATGAAAACACCCCAAGTCGTGCTGCGTTCTAAAGTCACGACATGCACGTATGAAGATTTCGCAAACCAAACAACTGGCCTCTGTGATTGGCACACAAAGTAACGCTTACAAATCATACAAGCAACATCAACTACTACCACAAAAGAAGACTTGACAAACTGCAAACATACACTCTCACAGATTAAAAGCATTCAATAAAAGGGTTCTGACACAACGACTTCACCATAGTAGGGTTAACGCTAGTAGAGAAGGGTGGATTGGTAATAAAAACAAAATCCCTGTGTCAGCTCCCATGCTGTAGCAATTATATGACTGTCACTTATACAACAAACATTCACGTCATGCATCGAGGCACCAAACCAATAAACTTAAATAAGTGAACGAGAGATATAGACATTGATGCCGAACTCATAGGGGCTTCACAGATTTTAAGATTATTGATTAGTATGACCCAAATTAAAATGTTAACATAAATAAATGAGAAAACAAAAAAGATGGTAGCGTTGTCATGGCCGAAAAATGTGGTCAGTTGGTGAAACCCATTCCATCACCTTTGAAGAGAGAGAACGCGGGTGAACATTTTATATGGCATGGTGGCAACAAAAAAATGGCAGTATGGCAATGGCACAACTGAACATAAAAAGAGTCAGGAAGTTTTGTCAAGAAACGCAAATCATGTGAGGAAAAAAATAAAGCTGCCGTTCCTACTTACAAGATTTATAAGAAAGGAGAATTTGGATAAAAGAGGCTGCAAGATAACAGAAATAGTGGAGAGACACAAAATCAAAGCAGATCCAATTAAAATCAGGCATGAATTGTGATTTTATTTTGTTTTCACTCTCTAGTGAGCTTCAAACCGCTCGAGTTCTTTCAATAGACAAACTGGACACGAGCAGGACACTACACCAACAAAAATATAATGCTTTGGCCTCCTTTTCAAAAGCCCTGATCACGCTGCTAGATTTAAAAATCTGATCACAGACATGAGGAAAATTTCGGAAGAGAACTAACAACCCTACCATGTGTAGCTAAAAATACTTATTTAATATGAAAATATAAACTATGAAATGACAATATGTTTGTAGCATTAAAGTTAAAGTCAAAACTTCAATCATATTTCTTTAAGACAGAACGTCGATGAAGTTGGGTTTATGGATCTGTTCTGTAGGACCTCCACAAACTCCCGCCTTGTGACTATGTACTTGACACATCAGGATCTTAATTTTCACTTTTTGATTATTAACAAACTTTTCAAATGATTACAACACAAGTTAATTTATAAATGAGTTCCATAATTAGCTGTGCTTCTATCCTGCACCTCCATACGACTTCTACAGTCATGTTAATGCAGAGCAGTTCACAATAGTACAGACAACATACATTTGAGTGCAGCCGGTTAAAATCGCAGAAGAAACTCTGTACTGTAACTCTGTAGTGTGATCAGGGCTTAAATCTATCTTTCTTTTTAAACATAAACTACAAACAAGTAAAACTAATTTATTCCTTCTACCATAGTCATTGTTTGATGCTATTCAGGCCATGTCAGTCCAAAACATCAACTCAGAAAGGCCTGTTCTGAGGAAGATATGGTGAAAAAAAAAAAGATACCCAAAAAACACAGACATTTAAAAACACAGAAACTCCACAAAAACATGTACCATGACCAGCGACAAGAACACCCTCCTGCCCATGCATGTAGGGAATGCATTTAGGCGTGGTCTACTGTTGGCCGCTTACCGGTCATGCTGGGGTCTCTGCTGAGGCCGCTGTGGAGCTTACAGTGCACCAGGGCAGCGTCAAACAGCCACTGGCCGAACAGGTTGAGGATGCTGTTGACTTTAGGCCGGGCCGGGGCAGGCAGAGGCCGGGTCTCCCAGCTGGTCTGGTTTGGACTGGACAGTAGCGTGGGCGAGGAGGAAGGCTGCTGCTGCTGTTGTTGCTGTTGTTGGGATGCTTTGGTTGGTTGAGCCCCACTCGCCTGCATAAATGAGGAGTGGAAAATGTTAAGGGTCCCATGAACGCAGAACGTGCAAACAAACAACATCAATGACTCTTTGATATGTTATATTTTTCATTAAGTCGTCAGCTACGTTCTATGCAGACCAAAAAGCCACCAGAGAAGACGGCAATGTCGAATTCAAGCTAATTTAGAAAGCGTTGTTTTATACATTTTAAATACAAAAAAATGTATTAGTAAGGTTAGGAGTATCTTAACTTATGTTATATGACCAGTCTTACGTTTTTGTAGAGATCGGAACTACTCAAGCTTGGTATATCAATTAGTTGGCGCAGTAAAAATGTGCAATAAATTATAATTACTACACAGACAACAATATTAAACATATAAATCTAGTTAAGACTTCATAGTAGAAAGACGGTAACTTACAGTTGAGCTCTTGCTTGTCGTTTTGGTGACCACTGCATGACGTTGCTTGCGGTTGTGAGGAGGGGTGGTGTTCGTGATAGAAGGGGGCGGGGACATGCTCATTCTGTTGACTGGAGTGGGCGGGGCACTGTCAGCCCTAGGTCGAGATATACCTGCCAAAGTACACAAACATTATGAGCTCAGAACATTTATTTTGTCTTTTGATTTTTGTAACCCTATATTTGATTGGAGTCACAAAATTTGAAATACTTCATGCCTGGCTATTTTGTCAAAGTTAATTTCAATTCAATGGAAAAGAAATAACAAGAGACATAATCGGTAAAACATGCAAGACAATTGTTAGGAAATCAAAAAGAAAAAATATGTAAATTCTTTGATTGTTTTTTTGTTTTTTTACCCAACAGTAGTTACTGATCTTGCTGCAAGTGTGAAAACTTAATCTGGGACAAGTCATTTTACCAGAAGATTCACTAAACCCAGAGGTTAATGTTACAGTACCACCACTCAGTCCATCAAATCCCCTTTGATAAAACAATATTTCATCTGAATACCATGGTGCAGCCGTGGAGAGAAAGTGAACACCCTCTCCCGTACGACTTTCTTTGCAACAGAGACACCTACAGGACAATACAGAGAAATACACACAACATGGATCTATGCACTATCACTGAGGCCTCCTTCGGGAACTGCAAAGAAAACTACAAACTTGTTAAGATATTTTTTCAATACTACTACTACTGCATTTAAGCCAGTCATAATTAACTGCTCAGTGGAAAGTTGGATAATTTACCAGTTGAGCTGATAATAGCAATATAACTCACAGTACAAGAAGTTGTGTGAATATTGCACACGACATGTAGTTTATACTGTATGCTGTATCTGTTGTCTATAATGACTTAAATGGCAAGTTTTACAGGTACAGGAAAGAGCTTTGGATGAAGAAGTAACATGAGTGTCAGCCTTGAGGGGTCTGCAGCCTCACTATATATTTTTATTTTAGAAAGGCGACTTTGGTGTAGCCGTATATCTTCAATTGATTTAATGGAAAAACACACAATACAACACATTCAAAAAGCAATTGATTATACTGGTTAAACATTTCACTTTTGTCCTTGTCTTTCTTACCCAAGAATGCATCCACTAAGCAGCTGATGCCCCTCATGGCTCTGAAGAAGATCTGGGGGAGTTGTTTGAGACACGGGTGCAATATTACTTCATGAGGAATCCCACTGGAATTTAGGAACTGTTCTTGAAACTTTGGAGTAGTGCTCACAATGGCGGGGTTACTTAAATCCACAGGGTTGCTGAAAATAAATCAAATATTGCATTTAAGAAATATAGAGACGAAATACAGATGTGTTTTTTGTTCATGTTTGACAATACTTGATTGTAGGAAGAGACAGGTGGGAAGTAGTATAACAGAAGAGGAACAAGAGCATGAGGAACAGAGCTAAAGTACTTTTCAGTTCCTAAGACCAAACCTGGGCGACTTCTTGGCAGGACACGTTTATTATACAATACAGAATATTGTTGTATTTATTTCAGTACCTGAGCATGTGCAGGAAGCGGTACCACGTCTGGGCCACGCAATCATCATCCATCTCCAAAGGAATTAGATTTGCGTCCTCATCGGGCACTTTGTACGGTGGAAACGTTGGTCCGTGGGTAAACCTCAAAAGTCTATATATAAAATAAGTAACATTATTATCACTTATTGAGTTCAAAGAGTAGATCCCTAATCTCTTATGTTTATGCAAAACAGGTATTTACATTTTATGGAAATGATGTGAGGGTATCAAATGAACTACCCACATCTGAGATGTTTGTAGTAAACAGCAAGCAGTGCAAGTTTACATATTACAGAAAGAGAAAAAGCAAAGGACTGCCACATGTCAGTGCTGAACAGAATTCCACGACAGCAAATAAATACATGTAGGCCTGTCACGATAACAAATTTTGCTGGACGATTAATTGTCTCAGAAATTATTGCGATAAGCGATTATATTGTCGTTCTGAGATCATTTGCATCGATTAGAATGATAATGCAGGTACACCTTTTCAAAGAGAATAAACTTTTATTTTTAACGAATATTTAACGTTAGAACACAATAAATTAACAAACAACCAAAAACAATAAATAACATAGACTCAGTCTCTTAACAAAAAATGACCAGGAATAAAACTGCCAGGACCTTTGTAAAGAAACTATGAAACAGATGCCTCAAATGTCAATAATTTCTCAGACTTTATGACAGACTACAAGAAAGAAATACCAACATGTTGACTTTGTGTGGCTTAAGACAGGATCTCTCAGGAGTAGTCCCACCTCCCCACACACCACCAGGCGAATGACAAGTGACTGACATGTGGGTTCACCAATGGGGCGTACAGAAGTCCTGCTGCGGTAGCGCCCACCGGAAGTAGCGGGGCGGGCTTTGATGCTAACAGCTAAGCTAGCGGGTTTTTTGTGTAAAGTTCTACTCCAAGAATGCAAGTCTGCAGCATCTCTGTGTTCAGAGACCTTCTAGAGACTTTATATAACAGCAGTATGTGTTCACGGAGGTGCGCCATAAGTTTATTTTATTGGTATGGTACGGTACTTCTGCATCGGCGAACACGCTAACGCTAGCTGCGCTAGTATAGTCACTAATCAAGCCTGAATGAGAACTCAGCTGCCGGCATATGTTCACAACTACTGTGTCCCCCATTGTCAATCCTGGTTAAGTCCTGGTTTAGGTCCTGTTTTGGCTGTATTTTGTATTTTTGAGTAATTTCCGTCTGCTTGCTAGACCGCTAATGTTCCCGTGGCCACTTTGCGGCTCTCTGACCCGAGAGAGACGGGGGAAACAAACAAGCATGCAAATGGGATTTATCGCGGCCAGAAAAGTTATTGAGCAAATTTTATTTATCGTGCGATTAATTGATTTATTGACTATCGCGACAGGCCTAAATACATGTAAATGTTCTTTTACTTTTATTGTAAATTAAGGTAATATACTAAAACTATGACTCAAATACCAGAAAATTAAAACTGCATTTTGCAATTCAAACAATAACTATCTGGTAAAAAATGCAAAACCTTTTGACTTTCTGTTGGAGCAAAACCTTAAATCAAAAAATCTCTTTCATCCAATTGTGCAAAAACCACAGGCCAAATAATAAAAGATATGTGGTTCACTGCATACTTTTGAGGGTCCTAAATATCAGCTAAATAATTTTATACCTTTTGATTACGATTTTTTTGATGTATCAAAGTACAAAATGAGACAAATGGGAACCCTAAAATAATTATTACATGAGGTGAATTTTGAATAGTGTTTAAAATATTGCTAAAGTCTACAGTAGTTGTCAATGAAGATCTAACCTGGAGGTGAGAGCAGAGGCCACCCGGCTCCACTGCTCCACCACAGGAGGGTGGTGTCTCCAGTTGGCCAGCATCTCTCTCGCCGTCTTCCAGTAGGGAGGAGTGGGGAAACAGCGCGCACATGCCAGCAGCCACACCTCAAACAGCACAGCCATCAGTTTTTCTGCCAATTTTTCTGCCACGCCAACTAAGAAAAACATTAAGGATACATCAAACTTGCTGGCCTATGAATGGAAAGTAAAGCATGTAATCTTTTTATGATTAAATAGCAATGCACATTATATATGTATCAGGATTAAAGGATCAGAAACAAATAACATAGAAATTAATCAAGATTTATCCATTTACATTATGTAAAACTGGGGTACTTTTCAAACCACAAAAATGCGAATATCTGGTGAAACAACAGATATGATTCATCGTTCATGATACGATAGTGGGCTTGTTCACACTAAAGGGCACAAAAGTGTGACAAAAGGCCAAAAATTAGATTTTAATAATCAGAAGATATTTTATAAGTAAGTAAGTAAGTAAGTAAGTAAGTAAGTAAGCTTTATTTATATACCGCCTTTCACAGACCAGAGTCACAAAGCGGTTTACAATTGTTATTTTTTTTGGGCATTTGTCTCTCACTCCACACAGAGATGGGAGCGGGGTCGCCGAACAGGAGGCGCATGCCAGACCTATTGTACATATTTTTAGTGGTAGGGGAAACCGGAGTACCCGGAGGAAACCTACGCAGACACGGGGAGAACATGCAAACTCCACTCAGAAAGGCCCTGGTCCGGCCGGGATACGAACCCGTTTGTTTTTCATGTTTCCAAGCACCTCCTCTGTCCATTAGAAGTTGCTAGAACATAACTGTTTTATACATTAGACAAGTTTCCTATAGCAGCCCTGTTTATTTTATCTAACGGACGTGATGATTTGACGGAATGAGCTTTGTGGAAGTTTGATAGGTATTTTCAGATGTCCACAATTGATTCAGAGATTCTATTTTTTTTGCACAAAGTAGATGCAAAGTGATACTTTCATATTGTCAAGCAATTAAATGTGAAAACAGACCAGATTTTTTTTTCTCTCAAGTTTAATTTTCAGAGAAAAGAGGACTGTCCTCATCACGTCCGTTATACATTTTTCAGGGGTCATTTAATTAATTAATTATTTTTTTATTTTTTTACGATTCCTTTTTATATCAAGTGATTCCCTTCTGTTGTGTTAACCATTAAATCTTGTGGGATTTCATCTTCTGCTTTTTCAGACTGAGGACATTTTATTTTCTATGTAACTGGCATCACAGTAGAATGGTCCAATCAGAGGCTAATTTGGTCGTTTAAAATGTTGCTAAACATTTTTATGTCAATCTTTCCTTTTGATTTTTTCCACACTATCTCTTCAATCTGTCTGTGTTTAAAATCTTTTTTCCAATCTATGAAAGTAATTTTAGTTTTTAAGTTATAACCTTTTAAAGTCCAGATACTTCAATTGTCACTTTACTGTGAACACACTCTAGTAAGTAATAAGTGTTTGTTTTTATATGACAAATAAGCTCCTACTAGATCCTACTGTTTCTCTAGTGAACAGTAGTGTTAGTGGAGGCCGAGTAAGTCTCAGCATTGAACGTTTTACCCCAAAATAAATGTTAAAAATATCACCTGTAATAAATAAAAAATAAATAAATCATTGTATAGGGCTGTTTCTAGGCTCCATGTTTCCTCTAAACATCAGCTGGAGGTACTGAATGACTCATTGGAGCCCAAGGGATATACATAGATTAAATATTTGTGCATCCAAAAGTCAACAAGAACGCTTTGTCAGTTACCTCCAATAGTGGGTGGTGCAAGTAACGTGTCATTGATGCGCAGCAGAAAGAGCAGCAGCACCTCCCATGTTTCCCTCACCATGGAATTAGACTCACGGGCCAGTTTTTGGACTGAAGTTAGGACTTGCTGGCACAATCTGATGTGGTTCAGACTGTGCTGGTCAGGTCTAGAGAGGGACGCAGGTGAAAGTTTTCAAAAACACATTCTACGGATGATTGTTTCTTTGAGTGTTTTAGTGTCATACCTTGGAACAAAGACGTTGTAGAGATGTTTAAGGATGAGCTGGACATACATATTTGGCTCTTTGATCACAGGGTGCGGCATAGAGTCTCTGGGTGAGACCAGGGCCATCATCCAGTCTGTGTACACATCCACACACAGCTTGACAGTTTCACCCTCTAAAGGCAGAGTGAGGCCGTAACAGAGCACTTCCATGGTCCATTTTACCTGAAAAACAAATGTTTATTTTTCATTCACCGAAGCTAACATTTACATCCATTCTAAACAGCTTTTTACTTTGTGTGTTTACAGATCATAATCTAAATGTATTTAGTTCAAGGGAACTGAATATCTTACTTAACGTGTACTTTCAGTGACCTGACTTCTCAACTTGACTCATGGTTAGCACATGAGTCAAGTTGAGAAGTTAAATCTCACACATATTACTTCCTTTGAAACCTGCTACTCTCATGAGGAGTATGTATATTATAAAATATTCCATATTTACACCATTTGTGGGCATTGCTCAATACTGTCCATAAAAAAGCTTTATAAAGTTACTTTATGTTTTATATATAAATCAGCCTAAAGGACAAGATAAAACAGAACATTGTATTCCTTAGATGTTTGTAAAGTAATTGTATAAATGATTGCCTCAAACTGCATTTTTATTCCAAATACAGTTACCATACTCAAATGTAGTACTCTGAGTGTATTCTCAGAACATGTATTCCGTTACTCCCCAACACTGTACTTCATCCACTACAACAGGCTAGCCTGATGAGAGTTTCTGCATTCACACGTGTCAGAAAGTAGAGGGTCAGGCTGCTCTGTCTGGCACCAGGCTGTCCAGGCTCAAGCCAAGTCTTAGTCAACATTGCCAATGTTCATCAGTGCTTTCTGTCTTCTGCCAATTCACCGGATGACTTCCGCAAACATCATCATTGGTCAAAATAATGCAATAATACTAATGCATTCTCATTCAACATAAAGATGGCATGTCAAAGATATCCTGTCACATCTCTAAGCACAATGGTGCTTAGGTAGAGATTTCTCTGAACTCTTCAAAAATGTTATTCACAATCGAGAAATGTAAAGATATATTGCCTAGGAGGAATGGGTAGATTTGCATGAAACACATTTCCACATAAAATCTACTTTTCACAATAACAGTATAAGATAGCATCCAATTTCCCACATAATCAAATGCATACAACACTTTCTCATTCACATACTATGCCATAAAACAATGTGACATTGAGCATTACACGATCATAAGCAGTTGTGATATAATTCACACTGCACTTTTCCTTCACTTACAGAGATCTACAAATCTATGTGTTAGGAGAGTTCATGGGTGGTTGGCTATTGTGCATGTTGTCAGTGGTTGGGAAAACCAATTCACAGTAAGGCTCTTTCTCACCTCCTTGTCAGTCTTAAGGATGTTGTCAGTGGCCACAGGGCTTACAGCCGTTCCCAGGGGCTTGACCACAGCATTGGCCACATCAGTGCCCACGGTGGGGGGGTAAGTGTGCAGAACACTGAGGTTGCTCTGGTCACTTTGCACCACCAGCTGAAGGGAGCGCCACTCTGAGTACATGCTGCTGATGTCAGGGCTCTACTCACTCCTTCTGCCTCCACCTGTGCACAGTCACACCACATCAGAAACAATGCAACGCTAAGTATAAGTGTACATTATTAGATTGTTACTAATGACTATTAAAGACTAGGCGTGACAATAAATACGTTGACATTCCCAATCCTGGCTGTCATACATGCAAAATAAATACTGGTTGGCATGGCTTAGTGGATTGTGTATAATAGTGAAAAATAACTTTCATTTTTAGAATGAAGTAGGTTCGCAATGATGACCAGAAAACTGACATGACCATGTTATTATTACTTAGCTAAGACTGAAGTAACGTACATGTTTAATACTTTTCATTCCCATAGCGAATATTGACAACCCGAAGCAAACACCAGGAAATGGTTCGGGAAAAGCAGAGCTAGCTGTGGGTAGCCTGTGTTTATATGGAAACATACAGTATCACGACGTTTAATCGAGTAGTTCGACTTGACATTGAGGACAGAACTCCTTTTACATGCAACTTATAGGCAGGTGTCAGAAAAACATGACGACACGTGATAGTAGATATAAGCTCTTTTTATCTACGTGTAAATGCTAGCTTGTTAGCAGCACAGCTAATGCAGACTGTGCTAGCTGCAGGTTGACTTTAGCACATCTCCCGTAATACGTCAACCATGCCATAAACTGAGAGTATTTTACCTGGACAAAGGAGAAATGTTGTCATAGCAGAACTCGGAATCATGCGGATTTCTTTTCGTTATCCTGCTTTATTTTAGAGCATAACAGCCTCCATCTTCGCAATGTCAAGCTTGGATAGTGCTGCCTGACGAGAAACAGGAAGGCTGCACTGCGCCCCCTACAGGAAGCATGAGGAAGCAGCCTACTCTAACCAGCAGCTGCGAATTATATTTAACAAATATACTAGTTCTGCAGCACGTAATCCATGCCCAATCATAGAAGCTCTAAATAGACATTAGGACGCTTATCAGACATAAACAATTGATCCACAAAGGAACATAGGCTACAAATTGTATGACAACATTTTATGAAGAAAAGATATACCCATGAAAGTGTTTTACTTTCACCCACTCCTTTTCAAACATTTGCTCAGAATTCATGTGAGGTTAAACATTTTGTCTGTATATACATGTTTGAAATAAATAAATAAATACTAAATACAAAAATAGTGTAACCACATCACACTAGTGCAATATGGATAAAGTTGCTCTCACAGAATTATTCATACTAATTGTACTACTACTACTATTATTACTAATACTATTACTACATTGCATACTACAACTTTTTGTTTATAAGTTAAAGCCCTCTTCCAATTGAGCACCTGGTCTTTTAAATAATGTTACACGATTGTACCATGCAGCACCCCTTACCTTTTGTTTTCTTTTTGTTTTCTTTTTTTTTTGAGAAATACTCTGTTTGTCCCTTGGTCAACAAACATAAATTAAAACCAGTCCACAATATAAACACAAGTTCTTTATTGCAAAATAGTAAAGACTTGTAATACAAATTGTTGTTAAACTGTCTTTAAAATCATATTGTTACATTAGGTTAGTGTTGAAATATGTACAGTAAGTCTGGGGGTTTCTGACAGAAGAGGGCAGCAAAGCTTATAAAAACTATCTTTGAATTAATTTGAAGTAAATACTAAAGTAATAAATACATCTTACATGTGCACAATACATCAATCCAGATTCATCTTGAATTATGCATATCTTTGATCAGTGTTCAGCCATAATTAAAGACCTAGTTGGACACATGTGTGTCATAAGCCCCTGGAAGCCCAAGAGCCTGTGGTAGCCTGTGTCTGTTTGCAATTTCCTCAAAGGTCCTGTTATTTTGAACCTCTTTAACACAAATATAAAAATCCAATGCAGTTGAATTTATGTTAACAAAGAGATTGTTTCTGTAGAGGTTTGTTCAAAAGTAAATGCATATCAAATGGTAACGGTTTGCAAAATAGAATAGACACACATATGGTATTAAACTTCTTGAAACATTCTGCAGTTCCAACAAAACTGCCATCAATAATGTGCATAGTTACATTCTTCCTCCAATGATTGCATTACAGGTGTAGACCAGATGCAATGGAAAAGCAAACAACCAGTCAGACATGAGTTTTTCAGCAGTCAACACATGTCCATGTTATCCCAGACTCATCCTTTCAGTGTCTTTGGCATTTGAACGCTGCTTCTAGGCTGCATGCACGTATCTGGGTGATCTCCACAAATGGGGAGAGACAGCAGAGAGAATGACAGAAAAAACTCAACATTATTCTCCACCCACTGTCCGTCCATGTTTGGGCAGGAGCTTGCACAGAATGAGGGTGCTATGACTGATAGCCATAAGACAATGCATCTAAAGGAGAGAAAAGAATAGTTCAGTTCAGGTTCTCTGTTTATACAGTTGAAGAGCATGTCATCTATGGGTTGTAAGAATTCTGTAAATGCTGCCTGTGGTGTCCGTCTTGATTTCTTTATATAACTCAATATAAATTATTAACATGATAATATTTATATAAATTAAAAAACATAATCTGTTTATATTTAATCAACACGTTTTCAACACATGTGTACTTTCCCACATAAGGTAGACTATGTTCAGTCAAAGAAAAAATCAAGATATCCATGTATGTATGAGTCACCATGTCGACCTGTTCCCAATGAGTGCACCCAGGTATGTCTGTGCATATATTTACAAACTCAATAGGTAAACACCTGAGTGAAAGTGTGCAGTGCAACACAGGCCGTCCCCTCGGGCTGTACGATAAATTGGAGACACACAGACTCGAGCCAGTGGGGGCAGGTGGGACAGGCGTGTAGACAGAGACTCTGGAGGCAGGTACATAGTGGTGCGCTCTGCAGACACTTGGTTCTGTTGATCCTCCCAGGTGAGCCAGTACCCTCTGAGTCCAGAACCACTGCCCGTCCACTCCACCTGCACCGAGTCACTGCCCACCGTGGTCAGCTGCAAGTCTGATAACGCCGGCGTCACTAGAGAAAACAATGAAGATTTGTGTATAAGCTTTATTTTGAATTCATGTTTTAAACAAAAACTGATCGCTGGAACAAACTCGGAAATCTCGGTCCAGAAATGTGTAGTGCTAGGAACAGCAAAGATACTTTGGCAGAACCCTCAAGTTCCCAGGGCCGAGGACCCAAGCTTAGAGAGGGATAACCGCCCGCGGAGGGCGAAAGGTGTGTATATATCTATATATATATAGATATATACTGTATATAGATATATACTGCATATATATATTGATGTATATTTATATTATATTATTCATAATAAAATATTCATATATAAAACAAAATATTCATATTATTTATTGCTGCTGAAACACAGACATGAGATTGTAATGAGCATCCTTTCGCATGAGAAATTGACAAAACTAATTCAGGGATATTACTTATGTTTTAAAATGCATAGTGGTACAATGACATCACACTATTGCAGGAGTGAGAAGGAAGCTCTTAGCAATATGTAAGATTTTCATCTTCTTTCACTGATAATGTGGTCCTAGCTGGATTTGTTTTCATATCTGGCAACCCAAGTCAGGGAGAGTGGGAGAGGTTGCAGTAACCAACCAGATTATTCCATACTCCTCCTTTAAACAGAAAGGGTTCGTGTTGAAAAAGAGTTAAAAACCACGCCAGATTTGTGACTGATGAGGAAACAGCATGGTTAAAATCTCAAAAAAAACATGCTACACCCGTAATGATGAAAAAGTGATTGAAAATGTGTAATTCAATCATGGTAGGAGCATGAATAACTCGGGAATGCAGAAGTGGCCGGACTGGAATGTAGCTGAACTTGAGAATGTGGGATTAAACCTGGATATGTGATCTCACCTTCCTCCGTGCACACTTTGACCGACATGGCCCTCTCTGTGCCTGAGGAGTGTCTGGCGCTCACAGTGATCAGGTAGGTGGTGTCAGGCTGGAGGTTCCGCAGTACAGTAGAGTTTTGGGTCCCGCCGATGGTAACTGCACTGAGTTTACCACTGGGCAGAGAGGAGTATTCAACGTAGTAACTCATGACGCTCTCGGGCTGAAGGGGGCCCCAGTTTATCCGCACACTGTTCGATCCCAACTCAGAGATAGATATGACAGCTGGGCTCAGCACCTCTGGTAAAAGACAAACAGTGGGAAAAAAATGTTTTTTTTGTTTGTCATTATTGTGATTGTAATGTTAGGGTGAGGGTACAGTGTTTGAATAAAATATGTTGCGTGTTTAATGTGAAATGTGTTGCGTTTACACTCGAGACAAACAAAACCTAAGTCTAAATCTAGACACAAACCTACAGAGTGGCAGGGGTGTGGGTAAAGTGCTTGTCTATGAAAATGTAAATGGTAATTTGTTTATTTAATGTTATAAAATTATATGAACTATCTTGACAAGCTGCAGCATAACTCACCTGGTTTGGTGGTGAAGGTGACGGAGAGAGCATTGAAAGCCTGCTCATTAGACTCTGGGGTCAGAGTGGCTACATATGTAGTGTCTGGCTTGAGTCCTGTTAGCCTGGCTGTGCTAGAGTCTGCAGACTGGGTGAACCTCTGGTACTGACCACCTCCAACACTGGGACTGGTCCCAGGGCCCCCTCCTACACTCCCAGCACCACCAGTGGGCACTGGACCAAAACGAATCTCATAGAAGCCATTTAAGCCTGTCAACACTGGTCGCCACTGGAGAGTAGCAGAGCTGGTGGAAATGTCTCGTGCTGTCATTCTTTCAGCTCTTATAATTTCTGGAAAGAAGAACAAAAATGCATTCATAAATAAGTTGTTGCAAAAATGGAACAACAGAATTCTTTCTTGAACCAATAGAACAAATTTGAAACATTATTATCATTATTATTATCATCATTATTATTATTATTTCCAATGGTCGAATCTCGGATTCAGTAGGAGCAGTGTGGTTTTTGTCTCGGTCGCGAAACACTAGAGTAGCTCTATACTTTCCATCAGATTCCCGAGGGATCATGGGAGTTCAATCCATCCACATGTGCTTTGTGGATTTTAAGAAGGTGTTCTCCCTCTGATATCTACTGTCGTTGTGTCAATGGGCAAGACACCTAACCCCACTTTACCCGAAGCCCCCGCTGAAATATCAAGGCTATGCTCTCACTGACAGAGCCGCCTCCTGTGGACCCACCACCTGCAGGCCTGACCCAGAAATTGACAAAAGGGAAGAACATGGATGGATGGATATCCTGTTGGTTCACTTGGCATCACTAATATTGCTACAGTGCGGAAAATTTGACTAAACTTCGGCCACCTTCAAGATGGATAAGCTAATTTATTATAGTTCCATGCATCAGAAAACTCAAATAACTATCTCTCCACATCACCACTGATACTACAATTACATTTATAATATCCTCTACTCTTCTACTTGACGTTGTCAGATAGTACATTCAGTACCTGAGTTGTCTCAGGTGGCTTTACATCTTCCCTCGGCTGGCTATTTATAGATATGTGTGTGTATATCTATATACCCTTACAAACATTCATGAGAGAATCATTAAGCTGTTATTGGACAGGCCAATCTCATTACTCGCTATCATGACACATGGACGGTGCCTAAGGGTCAACTCACTGACTTTATAAAGGCTCATGTTGGTAAACAGTGAATGCAGTTTGAGTGGTTTTATGGCTATTTAAATTATATAGTGGAGTGCCAAAGTTCGGGCAATAGTAAAAAGAGAATCAAATAAAGACGATTATTGCCAAAAGGAATGGAGAAACAGTTCAGACATTCTCAACATCTCTAAAACAATCCTTCTTCATTTGGTATTGGTCTGTACTGTGATGGTAGAACTTTGTGGTAGAAAAGTGCCAAACTGCTGTGGTGTCTTTGGGCAGTGGTGGCCAAGGAAAATTGATTTGTGTTCCCTTTAGTAAGTTTTAAAGCTTGTAAATACTTTATGTAAAATACTCAAGTCTGTTTGGGCTCACCATGGTCATTTGTCTGAATTACATTCCAAACATGTAACCTTCTCTTTGTGAGGGTTGAAAATGTTTATAGGGGGCTCTAGGTGTTCAATTAATTATTTCTAAAATAAGGAAGAAAAAACATTCAGCTGTATGCACAGCTATAACCCTAACTGTTAGAAACTGGATGTCAGAAGGTAGCCTGACTCTCGCCAGACCCTTGTAGTTCCGCCATGCTCCACTAGAGGCATTTCGCTTGTGAGAAGTGTAGCAATACAAGGGTCTGGCGAGAGTCAGGCTACAGAGTAGGAGCTTGTTTTTAAGAATCACTGATTGATGGAGTAAGATTAAGTACAGTATTTAAACTAAACTCAATGACCCTATCAGATTAAATAAAGTTTCAGTTTATAATATAGGTATTTTGTCTGGACCAAATTCTGGGGTAGCAGTGGCTCAGTTGGTAGAGCATTGGCCTTTGAACCTAAAGGTCGCGAGATCAAGCCCACCATGAGACCTTCTCCACCGACTTCCACTGGTGTCTGCTGTCGCTGTGTCCTTGGGCAAGACACTTAACCCCACTTTGCCTGAAGCCCCCGCCAACACCCCGACCCAGAAATGGAATAAGGGGAAGAAAATGCAAAGCTGGATGGAAATAAGACGAAAATGAATACATAATAAAATGTTTGACAAAAGTCTACCGGATAATCTGGAACTCTGAATATAACAGTGTTTACTTTTTGGCTACTTTACTCTCATATGCGCAATGCAAACGAGTCTGGTCCTCTCATTGGGCCTCTCCCTGTATAAATGAAGAATATAGAAAAACATAAATTCAAGATTAATGAATATAAAGCCATTTTTTCTTCTCTCACTTTATATAGAAACCTTATGTTTTACAAAGCTTATTGAAATATCCCAATTTTGTATAAAAGACCAATGGAGATAAATAACCATACTGTCCAGCTTCAATAACAAAATTGTGTGTCATTTGTATCCACTTCGATTTTTCACAAACATCCATTGAAAAATTGTTTGTTGGCAAAATGAGGCAAAATGTGAAAAGTATGAATACCTCTTCAAGACATAGTTTTATTGGGAGGAATAGATGGTTGAAATGAGTAGTTTACAGCACATATAGAACTCACCTATGATGGCATTGCGGAGATCCTCGGTGATGATATTCAGAGCATCTATATCCACAAAGTACAGGTGCTTGTCAGAAGGGGGCGTCGCCACATCCTTGAGCACCTGATAGTTCCCATGTCCTGTAGACACCACCAGCACTGCCACACCCTCGTCCCTCAAAACTCCCATGGGCCCTGTCACATCTCCAGGCTTCACGCCGTCTGTCAACCACACCAGCACCCTGGGGAGCCCCTGCCTGGATGATCCGGGGGCCCCAGGTCTCAGCAGCCTTTCTGTAGCTATCCTCAGAGCCTCCACTGTGTTGGTATCACCCCTGAGAGGCCGAATGTTCTGCACTGCCCCCTGCAAACTTCTCTGTGAGTAGTGCGTGCTGAAATCAAACTCCACTTTTGGCTCGGTGCCGACTTGGAGGAGTGCCACCCGAACCTGGTCCTCACCCAGAGAGAAGGGCAGCAGCAGATCAGACAGGAAGGAGAGCAGGCGAGAGTGTTCATAGGTGGGGACACTTCCAGAAGAGTCCAGGAGGAAGAGGACATCGCCTTCACAACAGTTCAGCACTAGACAACACAAGGAGCACATTATTGAAGCAGCCAATTTAGTAATCAGTGAATCACTCTTTGAACCGGATATGGACTTAAACCTGAAGAGGAAGAGGAGACTGATAATAATCCTATAATGACTGCAGAAAGAAATGCAGAAATATGTGTTATATTTATATAAAACACATATACGTATATTTATAATCGAATTACCCAAGTCATCTCTATGGATAATTATTTATTTATTTAAGGACAGCCCCATTGAGGTAAACTATCTCTTTTTCGAGGGCATCCTTCATCACAGAAATAAAATAACAAATAAATAAGATGGCTTACATCAGTAATACAAAACAAAACAAAAAAAATGTAACAAGCTGATGCCCCCAGAGAACAGAAAGATTGTTCTCTGGGGGCATCACTTGAGCTTTGTTTTGGTCAAATGTATAAAGAGTTCTTTATTCACTGACCTTTGAGGATCTAAAGAACCTAAACTAAACTACAGTCGAATAATTTGAGGGGTTTTCCAACTTCTCGAGTATCAAAATATATGCTGAATTCATATCATAGTCATATCATGAATGTAAATGTGGTTTTATCATGAAGTAAGATTAAAAGTAAGATCTATGTGTAAAATATCTTCAAACACTCGAATTATATGTTAAAAATACTGTATGCCAATCAATATTTTAGCCCCACCCTCAAGTGCAAGAGAACTTTAACACTTTTGTTGCACAACTTTTTCCACATAAGCTTTTGTGACATGCTGCAGCGGAATCTCCATGTGTTTTCCATCGATGGAACACAACCATTAAAATATTTATTATGAAAACTGTTAACTGCCGTAGGGAGAAGGAAAAGAGGAAATGTGGAATTATACACTGATGGCGATTGGAGATATGTTGAAAATGAGCCATGGCTTCAAAGGCTGCAGTGGGAAGAGGGGTCTTTCCCACCACTGCTCTCTTTATTACACGAGCTTTGAGCTGATGAGAAAGCAGTGAAAACAGTAGCTGGCAGGTATTAAAAAGGGAGTGGAGGCCGGAGGTGGGACTGAACGGGGGAATATAAAGGGCGTTAAAAGAAGCAGACTGGTGAGGGGGCCAGGGGGGGTTCCGTGCGAGGAGCGAACAGGAATGCTACAGTTATAGTTGTATACAAGGCAATGAATGTCTTGTTCTGCAGCAAATGTCCAAATGAAACACACTGGAAACAGAGACAAATCTAGACACAACCAAATCTAGACAACCATCATCTTATATGGACTTCAGCATTTTGTATCGTTCAGTAAGTTTGATTTATAAAAGTTTGGTTAATACAAGTTTGTAAGTCAATATTGGCCATTATAGGGGTCAAAATCTTGATATCTTCCCTCCAGATTGCCCAACATTAAAAATGTATTGTAATGTATGTGAAATAAACCAAAACCAAAAACGCGCTTTTACCTTAAAAGTCAGACCTCAGAGGAAAAACAATTTAGGGCACCATCATGTTGGCTATTGACACTCTGGAAGACATCTAGATGAGATACTGTAATTCTAAAGAAAATGTGAAGCTTAACACCTTTTGTTTTCTTTGGCACCGTCTTCTATTTAATATAGCATTTTCACAATGACTGAAGCGTCTATGAGACTGGGTGTTGAAAGCTTCAAAGGTCAGCGAGGCTTTCATACAAATCAAACATGTACTTGCACATACACTCTGCCATTCACCTCAAAGCTCCAAAGAACCTCTCTTGTTTTAATGGTTGTCAGTTTGGGATATAGGCCTTTATTTTCAGCTCTGTTTTTTTATTCACGTTTGTCAAGGGATGAAGAATTGGTTGAAACATCTTGGATAAATGTCTCATAAATAATATGTATTTTATGCTTTTCTATTAGCTTCCTTTGGAGTTTGTGAATGGGGAATGCTATAGCCACAGAATGACTAATTATGACTTGAGCTTCTTTTATTGCTCCATTTAATATGCCAATTGACTCCGCTTATTACTGGATGTGTTCAGTATTCATGAAACTCAGATTATTCTAAAAGCCTCATTGCTTTAGTTGGTGCTGTATATCTGTGAGAAGTATTTGTATTCATAGTGACTCATGTGGCAGCAGACAGTGACACTAACTATAGTGAGATCATAATAATTATGGCTTAGGTCCTTGGGCATGCTGTGAGTAGTGGAAGTACATCTCAACAGCTTTCAATATTATATTCTTTTTAATAAAAGTTCGTTCCAGACGTCTGGGTGGTCTTGGGCACCTGTCCCACTCCCATGGAGCCCTGCGGTGAAGGGTTTCATGACCTAGATTGGCTCCATCTCCACGCCATTAATATCCATCCTGATCGACAGCATCATGCCCATCTCCAAAGAAAGTTTTATAAACGAAACAGCACAAAATACAGTATTATTGTATTCAGACACAGGCAGAATGAATTCACTCAGCCTATAAAATATATCATTGAGAAATGTATGTTCATTAAATGTTTTGCTGAAAATGTAATATGAACATTGTTCTAAATGTTAGAAAAAATATATCTATATATTTATTGAGATTTTTTACGTCTCAGAACTTTATCGTCTTCTTAAAAGCCATATTTCGGACTCAGTCTGTTTACATGTCACTTTTGACAATACAGTTTTCTATAAAGAAAACGAACTACACATTCGAACTGTAATCCATAACCGTCTGCTCCATCAGAATGATCTGTGCGTAAAAGGAATGTCGCCTACCTCCTTCAGGTGATGCCTGTTGCGTCCGTGCTGATGCCAGAAACAAAAGCATCCATGGCCACAATACAGTTTTCGCCATCGTCCCAAAGTTATTCTGTCCAGTAATTCCTAATGTAATTGACAAATCTTTAGTGATCCATGAAGGCTGTAGATGCGGAGCTCCGAGGAGCGCTCCCTGTCACTGCTTCAGACGCATCCTGTTTCAGGAAATAAATGAAATGAGCCTTGTTGTTTGATTGTGTTCTTGTGATCTTCTTTGTTACACGTGCCCCTGGAACAAGGTTGTAAATGTTTCTGCTCTGGAAAAGAACTGAAAGTACAGAGCGTGTGCGCAAAGTGAGTGTGTGGACGCGCCTCTGACTGGCGCTCAGGTTCACTGTCAAGTAGAGATTGACTGTAGACTGAAGACTTCCTGCAATGGATTTCAAAATAAACCATAATTAACTAATACGTCTGTGGCCACCTTGTATTCTGCTCCATATTTAAATTAAATAAATGTACACTTGTTTTAACCCCGTTATCTAGATGTTGATTCTAGAGCTGGTGGTTTTTACTTTTTGTGCATTATGGTAGGGGAAAACCTGACCACCCGGAGGAAACCTACACCGACACGATGAGAACTTTCAAACTCCACTCTACTTGGATTTGAATTTAGGATCTTCTTGCTGAGAAGTTACTGTGGTCACCACTGTGCTACCCATTTAAAAGCTTTTTACACCTGTCCTTCTGTTATCTATAATAGTGGAGCAACACAGACCATTAGCCCTTCTGTTATATTTCTGCAAACCAAGATTACAAAAATGTTTCATGGAAAGATTGCTCACTTGACAGATTTGTGACCTCGACTCTGCTTAAATACATTAATCACTTGCACAATATAGGCTATTTATCTTCAAAATAGTATTATCTTTACCATTTTGAAAGAATTTAAACTATGCCTTGCAGATTAAACCCATTAGGAGTGCCTCTTAAATTACACTAGCAAAGGTCAGAGATGTGAACAATTCTATGAGGCAATAACACACAGTAATGTAGAGATTTGTGGTGTGGTCTGGCAAGAAGAACTGTAATAGAAGACACATAAAGAGTGAATGAATGGACAGAGGATGTGGGAATGGAAGAGGGACAAGAGCTGGGGTGAGGCATCATGTCCAAATACTGCTCAAAAACAACAGACACAATAAGCAGACTTGTTCCATTACTGTACACACCCACTAACTGTATCAGGCATCTGGGAGTTTTGGGTTGGTCACTATTGTTATTTTGTTCTTTCTTTGTCCGAGTCAGTTCTGGTGCAAACATCATCATTACTGCTCAGCTTTCCACATTAAAATGATGGGCGGTGAAATACCATAGGGGATACCACAGCTTATGGTCCCTTGCATATGACCTGTATTCTTTTATGGAGTGACCTGTTATGATTGATGGGGAGTTGCAACGTAAAGCACCCGAGGATTTTCCCCCACCACTGTACATATTTCCAAGAAGGGAAAGTGGAAAAGGATCATGCACAAGCATTAGCTGGGGTAATTCTCAAACACAAAAAAGGGCTCCGTGTAAAATCCATGTATCTAGTTCCTGGCTCTAAAACTGTTTTGTTATATTCATTTCAGTTGTTGATGAATGTTTAGTAGTATCAAGCATGGAAAAGATTAGAATCAGACCCCATGTTGTGGTCTGATTTTACTTTTACAAAACTCTTTCTGTTGGGACAAACATGTATTATGTATGACAGCATTATGTTATTTAGCTTTAAAGGAGCAATATGTAAAAATCTGGCAAAAATTGGTTCTGCAACCTCTCCCACTCTCCCTGACTCAGGTTGCCGGATATGTAGAGGAATTCAGCTGGGACCATTCTAGCTGAATAGACAAGAGTTTTGTCAACAACAAATCTACAACCAAAACCTTTTCACAAAGATTGAAATCCTGGTTTTATTCCTTGTTTTGTTGTTAATGATTTGAGAACCATAACAAGACCTTTTTTAGTCCTCTGGCCACATGCTACTTTACCAGTGACATTAGCTCGACGCGGTGAGTTCTGGCAACCTGGATCACGGACTTTCTGATTGGTAAAACGGTGGAGGGGGGACATCGAATTGAACTATTGTAATTAGAAGAAGTATTGGAAAAGAGCATGGCTTAATGACGCCTTTTGACAGATCAGGGCCATTTAATGATGACTTGACATCTTACATGTTGCTACTTTAAGTGCCCGATAGTTCTCTCTATGTCTGTCTGTACATTAGTTCTCATTCTAAACAGCCTCACCCACTGTCTTTGTCTTTACTGTATTTATAGCCAGTGTCTTCAAGTATCTGCAGGCCAGGGTTTGTTTACACTGTCGCTACTGAACAATAGCTTGACTTTACTCATTTTCAGTGTGGTTTTCCAGCACACTTATAGCAGCAGATGTGGTCAGCAGCTTTGAAGGATGATGGGAGCCACGATTGGAGTTGTGTCAGTTTTAGTGAGTGGTGAATCAGAGAGTGCCGTGTTTATTGTTAGCAGCTTATTGTGGTATGCATTTCATTCATGCATTGAGCACCGGCATGTTGTAGTCTGGCCATTGTTCAGCCTGGCACTGGCCTAAATGTAAGCACAGTACCGGTAATTTAATGTTGCTTACACTTTGAATCAAGGGTGTCATAAGAGAGTGACTATTAAGAAAGTGAAATGAAACTGAAACTCAAAGTAAACAGCCATGTGATACAAACAGTCTTGCGTTGAAATAATGACGGCTAAATATAAAGCCATCGATGATTTTGATATAAACAAGGAGCTGGTTATGTTTTAATTTGAAGGTTCCATCAAAGGTCGTCCTTGTAATTCACAACGGGAAGTGAAATCATCTGTTCATGCAATCAGGTGTAAACTGTGTCCCCCTCTGGTCATAAAAGATCATAATCTGAATTATTTTTATTACCAGTGCAAGTCACAGGACGTCACAAACAAGAAATGAGCACAGATTCTCTAGAAATTAGTTGGATATATTTTTATTTGCACCTTTTTTCACTGGCATTCGACACTTTTCTCATATTGTTTTTATCGTTTTGCATATGTAATAGTTTGTTTGGTTGTTTTTCAATGCGCAATAAAAACACATTGATTTGAAACCACATGCATAACATGAAGTATTTTAAGTGTTTGAGTATACTGTACTTAAAATGTATAAATTTGAATGAGTTTTGCAGGGATTATAACAACTTGAACATTATTTAGTTTTTATGGGACTGGGTATTGACTCTGTTTCGTTCAGACACTATAACAGCAAAATATGGAACATTAATAGCAATAATATGACCACCTGCTGCCATCTAAGAGCAAGAACATGCAACAATAATAAAAAACATAAACGGCACTATAAAAAGTCTGCATTGTTTGTCCTCTCTTTCCTTACATCACACATGTTCCTCTGCAATACATCAAGAAACCACTGGTATAATATCATTTGTTTTCATTTTTTGAGCCACACAGCACAAGACAACAGCTGCAAATACATCTCTCTTCGATGTCATCCTCGCAGGTGTCAGCACATTGTCTGTCGATTTCAATCACTATGTCCTCCTCATACAACCTGAGCTCTTGCACATACCACTGTCATGCTGGTGGAAGGACAAGTGCCTGTGCTGGGAGAAGGAAAAATACTTCCAGAGGGGCTAAAGCTTGACATTTTCGCTTTGGGCTAAGCAACAATTTAGGAGGAGTAGTGTGAGACTTTTCATCCAAGCAGTGGAAAAAGTGATGATGCCCACACTGCTTTGGGTTGGGACTGTAAGGGGAGTTTTGCCACAATGTTGAGAAATGGGACAAACCAAAGTCCCCTAGTTTATGTATGGTATTTAGGCTGGTTTGCAAATATGTAATTATGCACTGCATGTTGGCTCTACAATACAATACCAGTGGTGAGACGAAACCACAGATTGTTCCGAAAAGTTAAAAGTTTGTTTTTTGGTCCTTTTAGTGAAATCATTGAGTAAAAGTGAGATTTATGTTCTCACTGTAAACCCTGACAAGTAAAGTTTACTTGAAAAAACCATGGAAATAAATTGCGTATTAACTTCACTTGAATTCCTCGAGTACATCCTTACTTGATATTACCAAGTAACTCAAGTGATTCCGATAAAGTTTAAATTTCTACTTATGATCCGACCGGGATTCGTATTCAGAACCCTGTAGTTGAGAGATAATGGTGCTACCCACTCAGCCACCAGGCCACCCTGCCATTGTCACACCTGCCTCATTAAAGAGTCTACACGTCAAAATGTCAAAAGTGAGGCTTACTTGAACAGAAACAGTTAAATTCAAAGAAAACCCTGAGTGACACAGGCAAGCTTTAAATAAACTAACAATAAATGAGTAATATCTACTTACTGGGAAAAATTTATTTAAAATAACTTTGATATTTGAAGTACGATTGAAGTTAGGGTTTACAGTGGCAGGCTGAAGAGGATTGGGGGAAAGTATGGGAAAACAACTTGACTTTATTACTAAAGCATTATTTGCTGCCAAAAATGGGTGTAATATGGTTGTCATAAATGCCTAAGAGACAAGATTAAACAAATACAGTGATATTAGTTTCAACATGATCTCAAGTACGCTCAAAAGGAAATGTTGTTACAAGCATACTTGGTTTTATTCAGGAGACAAAGAGCAAGTGCTTTCTAACTGAACTAACAAAAGGAATAATCATATATAGATTGTATTTTGTCCATGAGACTAATCTAAGAAACAATCTTGTGGGATTTCCATCAAGGATTTGTCAGTAAATAGAAGATTACCAGATTGCAGCTCATGAGGGCGATGCGAACCAGGAATGAAAACACCAGTGATAAATCTATCTAACTATACATCAGGTACTGGAGCCAAACGCTAATGTGGTCGAGAGAAAATAGACCTGCAAGACATAGCACCTCTGAAATTCAACAAGGATCTCCAAGCACCCTTCTGGATAGTGTCATGACCCAAAATACACCTCCACTAAAAATACTGACTAGACGGTGAGGATGCACGAGTTTGAGCCAAGTGCCCAGTGTCTTCCTGAACACCACTCACCCCCATCCCACAGTTCTGCGTCACT